AAACAAACAAAAACTACAAAAACTTAGCCAGGCATGGTGGTGGGTACCTGTAATCCCAGCTACTCAGGAGGCAGGAAAATCACTTGAACCCAAAAGGCAGAGGTTGCAATGAGCCAAGATAGTGCTATTGTACTCCAACCTGGGTGACAGAGCAAGACTGTCTCAAAAAAAAAAAAAAATTGCTCTTTGTTGCTTAAAGGGAAATATATACATTATTGTGTTTTATTAAGATGTCAACCCAAGCAACAATTTTAAAATTTCAGACTTAATCAAATTAAAGAGCAATATTCCACAGAGATCAAAAGATCTGTGCTAAACCACAGAGATCTGTGTTGTCATTCCCTTATCTTTCACTAGGATAAACTCCTGCTATGGTGTGAATGTGTCCCTGAGAAGTTCTTGTGGTGGAAATTTAATCTCTCTGCCCTCATTAACAGATAATGTCATTATCATGGGAGTGGATTCCTTATCACGAGTGGCTTTGTTATAAAAGTGAGCTTTCTCTGGTTCTGGCTCTTGCCCTCTCACCATGTGATGTCCTCCACCACGTAAACGATGCAGTAGGAAGACCCTCAGCAGATGCCAGCACCATGCTCTTGGACATCCTGCAGAACTGTGAGCTAAACTGTCTTCATAAATTACGCAGGCTGTGGTATACTGTTACAGCAACAGAAAATGGGCTAAGGCAGAGACTATTTCAAAAATTTTAGTATATACTTCAGCTAAGCAAGAATACAACTTCTTGGTGGACATAATTATTTAGCTATTCAACAAACACCTCAAACTCAGCATGTCTTCTAACCAACATACTCTTCTTTCTTCTATTCCCAACCTCTTAGGAAAACTATTCCCCACCTCTTAGTGAAACTTTTCCCCATTTGGTCACCAAAATCAGAAACATGCAAGTCATCTTAGTTTTTCCTTTCTCCTTCACATTAAATTAATAAGTAAGTTCAGCTGGTTTCACCTTCTATTTATTTCTCAATCTTGTCTCATCCTTTTCATCCCTCTCTTCACTGTTATAGTTTATAATATAATGATTTTTTGTTAGACTATTACAATAGTCTTTTGATATTTCTGTATTTAGTCATGCTCCTCTTATAGCTAACCTTCACAATGCAGTAAGTGCCAGAAAATATGTGCCAGAAAAGGAAGCCTTGAAACTTGATTTCATTTAAAAGGAAGAAGAGGGAGGCATTCAGAAAGAAGGAAAAGCAGAAGCAAAAAGTACATCTGAGTGACTGTAACATGAAAACTATTAAGCAAGCCAGAATGGTCAAAGTGCTATATTTGTGAGGATGTGATAAGATATGAATTGGGAAAAAATATTAAGCAATACAATGAAAAAGATCTTGGTGAGCCATGAACTGTAATTTGATTTCCCATTGATTCTCACATGCCAGGTTGATAATGGTTTGAATCTGTGTCCCCACCCAAATCTCATGTCAAATTGTGTGGTTTAGTACACTCCCCCTTAGTACTGTTCTTGTGGTAGTGAGTGAGTTCTCACGAGATCTGGTTGTTTAAAAGTGTGTAGAACCTCCCACCTCCCTCTCTCGTGTTCCTACTCTGGCATGTGGCATGCCTGCTCCCCTTCTGCATTCCACCATGATTGTGAGTTTCCTGAGGCCTCCCCAGAAGTTGAGCAGATGCTTCCTGTACAACCTAGCATCATGCTTCCCATGCAACCTGCAGAGCCATAAGCCAATTAAACCTCTTTTCTTTATAAATTACCCAGTCTCAGCTATTTCTTTATAGCAATGCAAGAACAAACCAATACACAGATCAACCAAAAATCTTCTGCCACAGACAGTACTCAGAAAGAGGAGGAAAAAAGAGAATTACTTATATAACAAATACTGAAAGATTTATGTTCATATTTACGCATGTGCAAACCTTTCCATTATAAAGCCTGCCAAATGGAAGTATGTTCAGAAACTGAATAAAAATAAAGAATTCTTAAGCAGAGACCTTAATTATCCCTTTCACTTTTCTTCTTCTTTTTTTTTGAGACAGGGTCTCACTCTGTTGCCCAGGCCAAAGTCCAGTGATGTAATCAAGTCTCACTGCAAGCTCAAACTCCCAGGCTTTGGTGAACTTCCCACCTTGGCCTCTAGGGTAGCTGGGACTACAGGCACATGTTACTATACCCAGCTAGTTTTAAAATTTTTTGTAGCAATGTAATCTCACAGTATTGCCTAGGCTGGTCTCAAATTCCTGAGCTCAAGTGATCCTCAGGCCTCAGCCTACCAAAGTGCTGGTATTACAGGCATGAGCCACGTCACCCTTTCATTTTCATAGTCTCATCTCAAAAGCCAGTTTCTGCTTGAACCTTTCCCCACTAACCAAATTTTATATCTCTCTTCTGGACCTTCATAACACTTTTACTTAGTTAGTTCTCACTGTTTTTCGCTATGAATGTCAAATCACCAAATTGGCCAAATGTAAATTCTATAACCTAAGCTTTATCTCAGCTGTGAATAACCTAAAATTACTACATTATTACACTTATTGTGCTCCTGAACTGCTAAAGGGTGGTGGTATATTATGAAGAAATGATACTGGGAAGACCAAACCCACTTTCTACTCTTGTAGCTTTAGGCAGTTGTAATAAAGGAGGAGCCTGAGAGCTCTAAGAATGGGATGTGGAATCTATATTTAGTTTTATCACTACTTCTCATCCCTAAGGATCAGTAATCTAGACGTTGCCATTTAAAATGGCTTTTGGATGATACACTGGAATTCTAAAATGAGCAACTTAAAGAACTGAGTAACAATGGGTAAACATTTCTAGTATTATAGAAGGAAAAGCTAATTGGCATGACAGCAAGGAAAAATATACATATTAAATGGTAGATGTAATCATTCACCTGTCGAATCGACATAGTACAGAGAATATACAGGAAGATGAAGGAACAGTCTGTGGTGTCATCTCCCAGCAGATTTCGATGAGACAGTCCTTGGATATAAGAAAGAGGGGTAAAAGGAAGCTTTGCCACCACTCTACCATCAAATCTAAAAGAAAAAAAAAAACAAAGAATTGTTATTTTTGGAAGACTGACAAGTTTCTTACTTCCAAAGAAGAATCTGGGACAGAAATAGAGTTTTAAGTCCCTTGATCTCTGAAAAACAAAGAAAGGATGACATGCTAATAATAGACATGAACCTGAATACTGTGGTATAAGGAAGAGCCTAGATTATTCTCATCAATCTTTTCCTAAATTAGTGGTTCTCAATTCTTTTGGTATTGAGACCCCTTTATATATACTGACAAATTATTTAGCACCCTAAAAACTTTGTGTTTATGTAGGTTATAGTTATTGTTTACTGTATTAGAAATTAAAAATGAGAAATGTCTAATATTTATTTATTTATTTGAGATGGAGTCTTGCTCTGCCACCCAGGCTGGAGTGAAGTGGCAAACTCTCAGCTCATTGCAACCTCTGCCTCCTGGGTTCAAATGATTCTCCTGCCTCAGTCTCCCAAGTAGCTGAGATTACAGATGTGTGCCACCAAACCCAGCTAATTTTTGTATTTTTAGTAGAGATGGGGTTTCTCGATGTTGGCCAGGATGTTCTCGATCTCCCAAACTCAGGTGATCTGCCCGTCTCTGCTCCCAAAGTGCTGGGATTACAGGCATGAGCCATCATGCCCAGCCAAAATATTTACTAATTTATTTTAAAAATAGCAAGGAATTCATTACATGTTAACGTAATTTATTTTTATGAAAATAACTTTGAAGAATATATTTAAAAACAAGAATATTAGTGAAAAGAGAGGGATTATTTTATTTTTATAATCTTTTTAATATTTGGCTTAATAGAAAACAGCTAGGCTATTGCAGTATCACACATCATGAATTCTCTGGAAAACTTCATTGTATACTCATGAGAGAATGTTAAAAAAAAAAAAAGTAAATAACATCTCAGAATTACTGTAAAAATCATTCTGACTTGAAAGACTTCTGAAAGAATCTCTGACTTCCTGAAAGAATCTCAGACTTCCAGGGATCCCAGATCACACTTTGAGAACCACTGTTCTAAACCATAGCACCAGTAAGATAGAACCTTCTTTTTGGGCCACGCCTGGTGTAATCCTAACATGCCTGTAATCCTAATACTGTGGGAGGCCACCTGTAATCCTAACACTGTGGGAGGCTGAGGCAGGTGGATCACTTTGAGGCCAGGAGTTCAAGACCAGCCTGGCCAACATGGTGAAACCCCATCTCACAAAAATACAAAAATTAGCTGGACATGGTGGCAGCGCCTGTGGTACCAGCTACTCGGAAGGCTGAGGCAGGAGTATTGCTTGAACCTGGGAGGTAGAGATTGCAGTGAGTTGAGATCATGCTACTGCACTCCGGCCTGGGTGACAGAGCAAGGCCCTGTCTCAAAAAAAAAAAAAAAAAAAAAAAAGAAAAAAGAAAGTTCTTTTCTAAGACCCAAAAGGTCCCAACTATACATATTAAGAAGGATAAGGCCAGGTGCGGCAGCTCATGCTTGTAATCCCAGCTCTTTGGGAGGCCGAGGCAGGTGGGTCACGAGGTAAGGAGTTCGAGACCAGCCTGGCCAAGATGGTGAAACCCTATCTCTATTTAAAAATAAATAAATAAGTTGGTTGCAGTGGCTCAAGCCTATAATCCCAGCACTTTGGGAGGCCAAGGTGGTCAAGAGATCGAGACCATCCTGGCCAACATGGTGAAACCCCATCTCTACTAAAAATACAAAAAAAAAAAAAAAAAAAAAAAAAAAAAAAAATTAGCTGGACATGGTGGCATGCACCTGTAGTCCCAACCTGGGAGGCTGAGGCAGGAGAATTGCTTGAACCCGGGAGGCAGAGGCTGCAGTGAGCCGAGATTGTGCCACTGCACTCTAGCCTGGCGCCTGGCAACAGAGTGAGACTCTGTCTCAAAAAAAAAAAAATTAAAATTAAATAAATAAATAAATAAAATTTTCCACTGAAGTGTGGCCAGAAGAGAAAATTAAATAAATAAAAATAAATAAAAAATAAATAAGGATAAATATTTATGAATAGGAATTTATAGAATATATAGTAGTGATGAAAAAAGCAGATTACTAAACTACATGTACAATATTCTGAGATAATACTTTTACTTAATTGTTTTTAGGTTTGAAATAATTCTTTTTATTTTTTATAAAATAGAAAAATGTTTCAAAAAGAGAAAAGCTGAGGCAGGAGAATCATTTGAACCCAAGAGGTGGAGGCTTCAGTGAGTTGAGATCGGGCCATTGCACTCCAGCCTGGGCAACAAGAATGAAACTCCATCTCAAAAAAAAAAAAAAAGTACATCCATTCAATACAACATTATACAGCCATTTCAAAATAATATTACATAGAAGCCGGGCGCGGTGGCTCAAGCCTGCAATCCCAGCACTTTGGGAGGCTGAGGCAGGTGGATCACGAGGTCAAGAGATCGAGACCATCCTGGTCAACATGGTGAAACCCCGTCTCTATTAAAAATACAAAACATTAGCTGGGCATGGTGGCGCATGCCTGTAATCCCAGCTACTCAGGAGGCTGAGGCAGGAGAATTGCCGGAACCCAGGAGGCCGAGATCGCGCAATTGCACTCCAGCCTGGGTAACAAGAGTGAAACTCTGTCTCAAAAAAAAAACAAACAAACAAACAAAAAATAATATTACATAGAAATTAATATATATATTATGTTTTAAAAATTGCCACAGATTTTTGTGTGGACAAAAATTATAGCAGGTTATAAAACAGACATTCTTGTGTATAAAAGTTTATATTCAGCCTGGGCAAACTAGTGAAACCTCATCTCTACAAAAATTTTTTTAAAAAATAGCTTGGGTCAGGCATGATGTCTCATGCCTATAATCCTAGCACTTTGGGAGGCAGAGGCAGGTGGATCACCAGGAGTTCGAGACCAGCCTGGCCAACATGGCAAAACTCTGTCCCTACTAAAAATACAAAAATTAGCCAGGCATGGTGGTACATGCCTGTAATCCCAGCTACTCGGGAGGCTGAGGCAGAAGAATTCCTTGAACCCAGGAGGCAAAGACTATAGTGAGCCGAGATCACACCATTGCACTCCAGCCTGGGCAACAGAGTGAGACTCCGTCCCCACCCAAAAAAAAATTAGCCAGGCATCAAGGTGTATATCTGTAGTCCCAGCTACTTGGAAGGCTAAGGTGGGAGGATCACTTAAGCACAGCAGGTCAAGGCTGTAGTGAGCTGTGATTGTTCCACTGTACCTCAGCCTGAGCAACAGAGTAAGATCCTGTTTCAAAAAAATAAAAATTCATATGTAAAAATATAAAAATGTTTGCATACCTATTACAAAAAGTACAAATCTTGAATATGCACTACATTTGAGGCAGACAGTAATTTTACATTTTATAGAGAGTAAAATGTATTTTTATTTTATATTTTATACATATGTATTTTTGAAATTTTTCCAATGAGAATGTAGTATTTTATTTTGTTTCTTTCTTTATTTTTGTTTCACCATGTTAGTCAGGCTGATCTTGAACTCCTGACTTCAGGTGATCCACTCACCTCAGCATCCCAAAGTGCTGGGATTACAGGCCTGAGCCACCATGCCCAGCCATTATTTTCTAATATCTAGCACAATGCCTGGCACAAAATATACACTCAACAGGTAGGAAGGAAGAGATGCAGGGAGAGGGAGACAGACAGGAAAGAAGCTAGGGAAAGAGAGTAAGAGGAAGGGAATGAAAGGAGGAGTGAGAAAAATTCTAATACCTGCAGTACAGTGCAGATGAGCTTTGAAAAGATAATACATGGGCTGGGAGCAGTGGCTCAATGCCTATAATCCTAGCACTTTGGGAGGCCAAGGTGGGAGGATCACTTTAGGTCAGGAATTGGAGACCAGCTTGGCCAACATGATGAAACCCTGTCTCTACTAAACATACAAAAAGTAGCCGGGCATGGTGGTACATGCCTGTAATCCCAGCTACTCGGGAGGCTGAGGCAGGAGAATCACTTGAACCTGGAGGGTGGAGGTTGCAGTGAGCTGAGATTATACCACTGCAATCCAGCCTGGGTGACAGAGCAAGGCTCTGTCTCAAAAAAAAAAAAAAAAAAAAAAAAGGCAATAAATTATTATCATCTTTGGATATATTCTCTCAAAAGAAGTTCCACAATTACTCAGGTTTGCTATATGCTGGTTTGGACAACAGTAATTTACCTTATCATTAAACAAGATTATAGTTATTAAGACTCTATTTTAAGAGACAAAAGATCTTTATATGACTACCTTCATTTTGAAGCAGCATGTTAGTAAGCAACTGAAAAACAAGGGAACATATTAAATTCTTCATGGAGAACCCATAATGCCTAAGCCTTATTATGTCTTATACATAAAATACTGTCAATATTAAGATGGTAAAAAAAGTTATGGTGTAATTGTATTTTACAAAAATTAAATTCTAGCCAGGTGTGGTGGCTCATGCTTATAATTCCAGCACTTTGGGAGGCTGAGGCGGGTGGATCAGCTGAGGTTAGGAGTTCAGACCAGCCTGACCAACACGGCGAAACCATGTCTGTAAGTACCAACTACTCAGGAGGCTGAGATAGGAGAATCGCTTGAATGAAGGAGGTGGAGGCTGCAGTGAGCTGAGATTGTGCCACTGAACTCCAGCCTGGCTGACAGAGTGAGAATCCATCTGAAAAAAAAAACAAAACAAAACAAAAAAAACACCAAAAAAAAATTCCCTTGATTTTGATAATTGTTTTGAAGTTATATAAGAAAATGTCCTTAGGAAATATATAGCAAAGTAGTTACGGGAAAAGGAGCATAGAGCCTACAACATATTTTCAAATGATTATGAAAAATACAAAAATAGTGTATGGATGAGCACACATATAATAGAGAAAGTAAAGAGAGGAAAAGAAAAAAAGAAATGAAGCAAAACATTAACAACTGTGAATATGGGAATGGATATACATACTATTCTTGCAGCTCTTCTTAAGTTTGAAATTACATCAAAATAAAATATTACCCAAAAAGTTCATGCTAACATACATACAAATATAGAGTAATAGTTATTACGCAAAAGCATATAAAAGGACACTCACATGGAATTGAACATTCCCATTAGGGCAGTGAAACAAAAGCCAATTGCAAACATGGATTTCATTCGAACCTGTAATGAGACAAACAGATTGTCATTTTACATTTAAAACAACACATCTAAAGCATACCTCAAAAGTTTTGGTTTCATGTCATGTTTTTAAAAAGTACTCCTTAGCAAAAGCTATATCTGTGTTGGCTAACCCACCCTTCACCTCCAGTTCCTCTTCTTACCGTCTGGTGAGGAAGAATATTGGGGTGGCTTTGTGGCCCAATTCTGGCCAATGAGTTAATAAGTACTAACAAAAGGTCTCTCAGTAAGTAAAAGAGAACTGTTGCACAGTTCAGATGTCCTGTATTAAATACATAGAAGTGAAAAATCAATCAAGCTATATAATTAGCCTATCTATGCTTTAGAAGATATGTCTGAATAAAGTCTAGTCTTTATAACTAATGAGGAAATGGGTAATGAAGTCACTTTTCCTTATACTTCAGAGTATGCCAGATACTGAGAACAAAAGGTCTCTTAAAGAACAAAAGAGCCAGGCGCAGTAGCTCACACCTATAATCCCAGTACTTTGGGAGGCCAAGGCAGGTGGATGGCTTGAGCCCAGGAGTTCAAGACCAGCCTGGGCAACATAGTGAGACCCCATCTCTACAAAAAATACAAAAATAAGCCAGGCATCGTGACAGACGCCTGTAGTCCCAGCTACTTGTGAAGCTGAGGTAGGAGGAGCGCATAAGCCCAGGAGGCAGAGGTTACAGTCAGCCAAGACAGAGTCACTATACTCCAGCCTTGGTAATAGAGTAAGATTCTGTCTCAAAAAAAAAAAAAAAAAAAAAGGAAAGAAAAGAAAAAGATTGAGTAATGTGCAGTGGCTCACACCTATAATCCCAACACTCTGGGTAGCTGGGGCTGGAGGATCGACTAAAATTCAAGATCAGTGTGGGCAAGATGGCAAGACCTCATCTTTACAAAAAAAGAAAAAAAAAATTAAAATTAGCTGGGCATGGTGGTGTACCTCCTACTTGGGAGGCTGAGGATCCCTAGGGCCCAGGAATTCACAGTGGCAGTGAGCTATGATCACGCTACTGCATTCCAGCCTGGGTGACAAAGCAAGACCCTGTCTCTCAAAACGAAAAAAGGAAAAAGAACCAAGGACAGTAATAAAAGCCATTTATAATGTTCCAGCTCCTATATTGGGATTACACATATCACTATAAAACCAAAGATTCAGCATTAACATAAGGAAGAAAAAAGAAATAAACTACTTCATTTGAAAACTAAGAGGGAACTAAGAACTGTGTGAAGAGGAAAAATCATGACCTCTGAGACAGTCTAAAAAAAGCTATTTATAGTATTAAGATGAAGTTTAAGAGCAGGAGCATATTTTACTTCCATTTGGTCCAGGAACAGCCATGATATTATTTATAGCCTTCATAGGTGATAAATTACTGAAAAGGTTAAGTGCAATGCATTTGATGCAAATCAGTCCTTTGCTAAAAACATTATGTGGTTTACCATGAAGTTATATTTAGGACTCTTACCATTGATAGATCTCTGTTGTTATTCTTTAGTTTCTCTTCTTGTCTCTCTGCAAATAATTAATGAGATGGTTAATACATACAATGCTGAGCACAGAGCAGTTGTTAAATAAATTGTCACTGTTTGGTGATTACAAAAGCACTCTGTCTCAATATCATCTAATAAGATGATGAAAACATCTGGGATATTATATATTTTGTACTCAGAATTTTTTAAAAAAATTACCTCTGGTATTAAATGTCTTTATACATTAATATATATGCTTATATTACACCAATGAGAATTGCCAATCAGTTAATTTGTAAGTATAACAATGATTGTACTTAGGTGTCTCAAATCAGTTATCCTTCTCTTACATTTTCTCCCTTTTTTCAATTTGTCTAAAATGGCATATAGTCTAAAATTATCAGCCAGTTGATAGGATGAACTTAAAATCCAGATTCTAGCTGGGAGATCCCAGTATTTTGGGAGGCCGAGGTAAGAAGATTGCTTGAGGCCAGGAGTTCAAGACCATCCTGGACAACATGGCAAGACCCTGTCTCTACAAAAAAATTTTTACAAATTAGCCAGCCATGATGGTGTGTCCTGTAGTCCCAGCTACTCGGGAGGCTACAGTGGGAGGATCACTTGAGCCCAGGAGTTTGAGGCTGCAGTGGACCATGAACGTGCCACTGTGCTCCAGCCTGGGTGACAGGGTGAGACTCTGTCTCAAAACAAAAACAAAAAACTATGCATCCTCTAAGTAGTGAATGTTTGCAATACAACCTCTGAAATTTGAGGAAATTTCATGGAGACAATAATCTGGAAATATGCAGAAGATACATTATATTCTAGAATGATTTATTTTCCAAGATGACTAGCAAAAGGGAAAATTAAAATTCAGAAAAGGAATACTCCAAATTGGAGGCTACATTTCTTGTGGCTATTAGAATAAACAATGATGGAATTGCTACTATTGGAATAAATAGTAGCAATGATGACATCCATTCTGACCACAAAGTAAATAGGCCATCAGCCAATCCAAATAACATAGAAAAAGGCCTACAATAAATGCATAAATTCACGGCCCCAAATATATTAAATTTCAAAAATTTCCTCTCATATTTAAATCCAAGTCTAGAAGAAAAGAGGCCAGATGTGGTAACCCACACCTGTATTCCCAGCTCTTTGGGATGCTGAGGTAGGAGGCTCACTTGAGCCCAGGAGTTCAAGGGTAACATAGAGAGACCCCATCCCTACAAAAAAACTTAAAAATTAGCCAGGCATGATGGCATATGACGATAGTCTGAGCTATTTGAGAGGCTGAGGCAGGAGGAGTTTGGGGTTGCAGTGAGCCATGAACATGCCACTGTATTTCAGCCTGGGGTGACAGAGGGCAACCCTGTCTCAAAAACAAAAAGAAAAGAGATACTTATCCCACTCAGTCAATCTTCAGAATGTTGTAGATAATGTTTTTGAATATATTCCATACTAGTACTATAAGAAGTTATACTATATGTGGCTGAATTTTTCATATGCCTAACAATGCAAATGCCAAGGCAAAATATAGTAAAAGCATTTTATGAAGTCCAAAATAATGCAGTTTAGGTTTACAGATTTCTGATGGTCTGACTTAATCTAGGATTAAAATGTACAAATCTAGAGAATGGATAGATTGTCTTTCAAGCAACTCGTCATAAATATTACATCTCATAATTTCTAATAAGATTTTGATAAGCAACTCTTCATAAATATTATTTCTTTTTTTTTGAGACAGAGTTTTGCTTTTGTTGCCCAGTCTGGAGTGCAATGGCATGATCTCAGCTTACTGCAACGTCTGCCTCCTGGGTTCAAGTCATTCTCCTGCCTCAGTCTCCCAAGTAGCTGTGATTACAGTCATGCGTCACCACACCTGGCTAATTTTTGTATTTTTAGTAGAGAGGGAGTTTCACCATGTTGGTCAGGCTAGTCCCGAACTCTTGATCTCAGGTGATCCACCTGCCTTGGCCTCCCAAAATGCTAGGATTACAGGCGTAAGCCACTGTGCCTGGCCAAAAATGTTATTTCTTATAATTTCTGATGAGATATTTTTTGGGTGCGCAAACAATTCAGGGTGGCAATCCATGTTAAAATCATTTGAATTCAGATACTTTGTGTTGCCAATTTAAAGGCAGAGGGTAATCTGTCTTCCATTCTTATATCCCTCCTATTCTTTATAGCAAAGGTACTTGAAGGAGTTGTCCACGTTCAATGTCTTCATTTCCTCACCATACATTATCTCCTTAATCTATACGATCTGGCTTCTGTCCCCCATCATGCCACTGAAACCAGTTTTGCTAAAAGCACTAATAACCTCCATTTCTTTGATACTTACCATCATCAATCAGGCCCTTCCTCCTCCCTGAAACTCTCCTCTCAACTTCTGTCACACTACTACTTTCCAATTTCTCTGGCAATACTGTTTCAGAACTTCTGTTGTTCCTTAAATTTCTGTCCCTCAAGACTCTCGCCGGGCGCGGTGGCTCAAGCCTGTAATCCCAGCACTTTGGGAGGCCGAGGCGGGTGGATCACGAGGTCAGGAGATCGAGACCATCCTGGTCAACATGGTGAAACCCCGTCTCTACTAAAAATACAAAAAAAAAACATTAGCTGGGCATGGTGGCGCGTGCCTATAATCCCAGCTACTGAGGAGGTTGAGGCAGGAGAATTGCCTGAACCCAGGAGGCGGAGGTTGCGGTGAGCCGAGATCGCGCCATTGCACTCCAGCCTGGGTAACAAGAGTGAAACTCCGTCTCAAAAAAATAAAATAAAATAAAATAAGACTCTCAGATGGCACGATGGCTCATCCCTGTAATCCCAGCATTTTGGGAGGATGAGGTGGGTGGATCACCTGAGGTCAGGAGTTCGAGACCAGCCTGGTAACATGGCGAAACCCTGTCTCTACTAAAAATTCAAAACTTAGCTGGGTGTGGTGGTACATGCCTGTAATACCAGCTGTTCATGAGGCTGAGGCAGGAAAATTGCTTGAACCTGGGAGGCAGGGGTTGCAATGAGCCAAGATGGCGCCACTGCACTTCAGCCTGGGCAACAAGAACGAAACTCTGTCTCAAAAAAAAAAACAAGCTAACAGACAAAAAAGTACTTACCATCCTGCACAGTAATCATTTATTTCCTGGTCTATTTTCCCTCTCTAAACAGAGCTTATAAAAATAGAATATTTTTCTACTTTGTTTCTCCAATGCCTTTAGAAGTAACTCATACATATAAAGTAAATGTTCAATAGTATTTTGCCATAGAATTAAATGAACAGACCATTTAAAAAATATCTGGGATCCTTACAATAACTGAAAAACTTTAATCAGAACAGGACATTGACATAGTCTAATCTCATAGAATTCTCCCCTGGGCTGTAACAACAGTGACCTAGGTATATAGATACAGTTTCTGAAACAAATACACAATCTCACAACAATTTTTTTCTCCTGATCTAAGAATCAAGAAATGTCATAACATATAAAAACAAATCGTATATAATCTTTTATAAATTGTCTTTCAGAAACAGAATTAAACTCTAAGTTATACTAAAAAAGTAAAAACATATGATATGATCATTATTTCTCATTGTAGATCAAAATTACTCAGCAGAAATTTCCTACCCCTTGGTGGATTTCCATCACTAGTCAATTCTCAGTAAGGAAGCCATGGAAACAATGAACACATGTAACTCAGACTTAAGTGGTAATAATCATCTCAGATATAAAAAATAATATGCTTTTACAAACTGTGCCAGAAGCCCTCAGCCATGTTCAAAAACCACAACTGTCATTTTACAAAACTCAAATTTCAAAGCTAAGGGCAAAAATAGAGGAACTGTTTAAATTTGTCCTATACACCTCACAAAATGGGTGAGAATCAAGTGCGATAAAGTATGCACGTGCTTTATAAAGCATAAAAATAATAGAAACATGAGCTATCACTATTAATAATTTTATTATATTTTCATTATCTATGAATTTTTTTCCAAGAAAACTCAAATTTCATTTTGATATCTCATCTTACCTATTTTCTTTTTCTGTTGTCGACCAGCTGACTCTGTTATTGTTTCCTTCTTCTTTTCCACTGTAAATAACATAGTAACACAGTAAAAATTAACTTCATTATACTGAAGAAACAAAGGATGCTTTATCACAGATGAACTGATGAAAGAAGCTTATGAAAGTTACACACTGACTTTGATTATGGTCATGATTAAGCTAACTGCTCTGCTCTCACAGCTACTAATGGTAAAAAGTAGGCACAATATTCTAAGAATGAAACAATAATTATAAGCATGATTAGTCAAATACCCATAAAAAATTGTATTGATACAATCATAATGAAAACAGACTATCAGCTGAGGATGATTACCTTAGCCAGTGTGAAAGCACCATTTTCAAATTCTCCTCTCTCAGATAAGTAGGGTTAATTGTAGCTCCATTCTCTTATGACAGAAGGTAGAAATTTATTCACTCAGTTATTGGCTAAGTAACTTTAGGCAGATGAAAAAAATATGATCCCTATCTTCTAAAGAATAATCTAGTCAGGGGAGATAATCAAATGACAATTATAGTAAAGTGACAAGATAGATATATGCACACTGCAGGAAAATCAGGAGAGGCAAAAAAGCTAAGACTGGCCGGGCAAGGTAGCTCACACCTATAATCCCAGCACTTTGGGAGGCTGAGGTGGGTGGATCACCTGAGGTTAGGAGGTCGAGACCAGCCTGGCCTAGGTTTCACTAGAGTGAAACCCTGTCTCAAATTAGCTGGGCGTGATGGCATATGCCTATAATTCCAGCTACTTGGAAGCTGATGCAGGAGAATCCTGGATTTTGCAGTGAGTCGAGATAGCACCACTCTACTCCATCCTGGGCAATAGAGTGAGACTCCGTCTCAAAAAAAAAAAAAAAAAAAAGCTAAGACCAATTTTTCTGATGCATTTCAATTACTATCATGATTAAGTAACAGTAAGCTTTTGAAAAATAGTGTGATATATATTTATAATATTATATTTACTATCTTTAATCATCTGTATATGGACTAGGGAGATGTCAAAAATTACTTTTACTTACTTTATATTATCTGTTACCCATATTATCTTAGTATACTAATAGCAAACAGTACAGTAGAGGGATTATTTCTAAAACTTACATTAAAAAGAATTAGCAGGTAGAACACTTTCCCTTAGTACGTAAAGTTTGTCCCTGAATTCTAAAAGCAAAATTGGTATCACTGCTTTATCCAAGAGTTGTAAAATTCAATTTGACTCCAATATTGCAAAGGAAATTTCTGCTGGCCGAAATAAAATATGTATTGTGTGTGTGTGTGTGTGTGTGTGTGTGTGTGTGTGTGGTGTGTGTATATGTGCAGTATATGTATGTTCTGAGAGACTTGAGATCAGCCTGAGCAACATGGCAAGACTCTGCCTCTACAAAAATATTACAACATCAGCCGAGAGTGGTGGCACATGCTTGTAGTTTCAGCATGTGCCAGGAGGCTGAGGCACGAGGCGCTCTTGAGACCGGGAGCTTGAGGCTGCAGTGAGCTGTGTTTGCACCACTGCGCTCCAGCAGATGCGAGAGCGAGAGCTTGTCTCAAAAATAAAACATCATGTCTGTGGAAAGAGAGCGAGAAATATTTTGAATGAACATACTAGTGAAAGATCATTTTTAAAATGTCAAATTTCACATTTTAAAATGTTTTAAAAATAACATTTTATGCCAGGTACAGTGGCTCATGTCTGTAAGCCCAGCACTTTGGGAGGCCAAGATGGGAGAATCATTTGAGTTCAGGAGTTTGAGATTAGCATGGGCGACATGGCAAAAACTCATCTCTAACAAAACTACAAAAATCAGCCAGCCATGGTGGTGCACTCCTGTGGTCCTAGCTACTCAGAAGTCTGAGGTGAGAGGATCACAGGAGCCTGAGAAGCCAAGGCTTAAGTGAGCCATGATTGGGTCACTACAATCCAGCCTGGCTGACAAAGCAAAACCCTGTTTCGAAAATAATAATAAACATTTTTATTAAAAAGTTATAAGGATAACATTTTAAAAGACAAAATGGATAGAAAACACTTCATGTTTTACTCTTTATCATCATTAAACAAAGAAGCAAAAATATTTCTTTCCCACTCCAGAAAGACTATAACACAACTACTTAGCATTTAACCATGACTGCATAAAAAATAGGGCAATAGGCCGGGCGCGGTGGCTCAAGCCTGTAATCCCAGCACTTTGGGAGGCCGAGGCGGGTGGATCACGAGGTCAAGAGATCGAGACCATCCTGGTCAACATGGTGAAACCCCGTCTCTACT